CACCTGGGTCCCAGCATTGTTGCTAGCCCCAACAGGTGGGAACTGCGCCCCTGCGCGCTGCCCCCCTGAAGTTATTGTGATGGAAACGCACGTACCCTCAAAAGGTCGGGGTGGGGTGGGGGCTTCTAATTCCCCTCCTGGATATGTCCAATAAGGTTCTTAAAAACGGGATTTTGTTCATGTCAACGTTGACTCAGCACAGCGCATGCCATTGTTCGCTACGATTGCATGCAGTGTGCCCGATGCCTTTAGTCATGGGTCTTGTCACCGAGTGCAAGTGCCGTAGAGCTTTGTGATTTGTGTGCTGTTCCCTGAGGGTTAGCTAGACATATAGTCTTGAACTTCAGACAGTTTACAAGCTCGAGGCACGATTTCAAATTCTAGAATAATAGAACAGCATCACTACTACTACTAGTAGCAGGAAGATAGGCCACACCCGATGCTGACCAGACTCCAGGGTTCTGAAGTATAAATTGAAAGTACAGATTTTTTTTAATTTAATCATTTTATTGGGTCTCATACAATTCATCACGAATACATAGATCAATTGTGTAAAGCACACCTATGCATTTGTTGCCCTCATCATTCCCAAAATTCGCTTTCCTCTTGGGTTCCCGGAATCAGCTCATTTTCCTTTGAAAGTACAGATTTTTTTAACGCCTTCATAATTTTACATTTTGAACAAATAAGGTAGAGCAGGCAATGCAGACTAACATGTGGAATATAATATCCAAGAAAAATTGGCCTTTTTGACCTGCCCTCCCTTTGAGTGTCATTCTTGGTTTGTCTCTTAGGCTATATAGCCTGTTTCCAAGAATTAGATGATTCCTTTGGTAGGTACACTGTTTTGGGTGATTTTTTTAACATACATTCTTTTTATTGTAATTCAAATATGTGTAACACAACATTTGCCATTTCAACAAATTTTCCATATAGAATTCAGTGACATTAATTACATTTATGTTGTACATCCATCGCCAGTATCAGTTTCCAAATTTTTCCATCTCGGTGATCTCATTTGAGAATAGCAAAAGCCTCCTTTATACATGGGGGTTTCAAAAGCTCATGGGACATAATAGAATGAAAAGAAGTGGATTTTTTTCCCTCCACACTTTCTGAAGCCCCCTTATTTCTTAAGGAAGAAACTAATAAATACTTTATGCAGACTCAGTACTAATTGGATTCATAAACTTCTGAATTCACCTGCAGCAGCATATTTTTTTGAAACATTAACGTAGAAGTATTTGCTCAGCATGTAGTACATAATGTTTTAAAATTTTCTTTTCTCAGAAGACGAAAGTCAGACGAAATCAAAGCAGCTGGACAGCGATAAACTGAACCCCCTCACCATCCCTTCTGTTTCAAAGCGGGTAGTGCTGGGGGATTCCGTCACCACGGCAGGAGCTGACCAACAGGGTGGAGTGGCTGAAGCAAAGGGGACCCAACTGGGAGACAAACTGGACTCTCTCATTAGGCCACCTGAATGCAGTCCTGATGTCAACATTGAGCTCCGGCATCGGAACCGAGGGGACCTGACCTCGGTCCCTGTCCAGAGGGCTTCTCGCCACGGCCTGGAACAGTACCTCTCCAGATTTGAAGAGGCAATGAAGCTACGGAAGCAGCTCATCAGGGAGAAGCCCAGTCAAGAAGATGGCAGTACACCAGAAGAATTTGACTCTTTTCGAGTATTTCGATTGGTGGGATGTGCTCTTCTTGCCCTTGGAGTCAGGGCTTTTGTTTGCAAATATTTGGTAAGGAAAAAAAATGGTTTACCAACAGTGGAAACTGCAAGTTAGTTATAATAATGATTGTTTTTAACCATAGAATTCATTATCAGCTTTAACTTAACATTTTACCTTATTCACACGACTATTAGAAATGTATTATACACTTGGCTATTCGACTTGGTTATAAAACCAAAGCCAAGCTCGCTGCCATTGAGTGAATGCTGACTCATAGTGACCCTATAGGACAGGGTAGAAACAACCCTATGGATTTCCAGTACTATAATTTTATATGGGAGTAGGACACTTTCTATCATTCTGAGTCCTTTATGTATTAATTCATTTAATTCTAATCCTTGTGAATTAGCTGTCATTTGAACCCGTGTTTTATGAGTGATGGATGGAGACTCCACAGTTGTTAGGTCAATTGTCTGAGGTTACACAACTACGAAATGGCAACTGGGATTTCAACCCAGGCAGTTGCAGAATCAAAGGGTAAACCCTCATTATATTATATTATATTACCAACTTCTATATAATTTGGAACATTATAGTTCCCTGGTCCTGAACATGACACATTTTTTATGCTTCAGAATGCATTTTAGCATTTCATATTATTGTTAATCCTCAGTGTTATAGAGGATCCCTGTGGTTAAAGCTCTTGGCTGCTAACCAGAAAGTCAGTGGTTCGTTCCCACCAGCCACTCTCCAAGAGAAAGATGTCACAGTGTACTTCTGTAAAGATTTATAGTCTTTGTTCCTGGTGAGAACCTTTAACCTTTTAAACAACAGCAAAGATGAGAGAACAGGAAGGGACAGGAGACTGATGAAATGGGGCACATGCTGACACTGAGGAATACAGCCAATGATATGGAGCATTTTATATACAGGCTACTGAATGGGAAGTGAATTTGCTCTGCAAACCTTTCACCTAAAGCACAATTAAAACACTAGTCTTGGAAACCTGACAGGGCAGTTCTCTGTCCTACAGGCGAGCAAGAGTCAGCCAACAGTGAGTTTGGTGTGGGGTTGGGATAGTGTTGTGGAGACAGTTTTCACTGTTCTATGATGTGGCTCGTGGTTGAAAGTTGGGATGTCATGGTCCTTTAGTTTTACAGTATATGGAGGAATTCAGGAATCAGAGCTCATGATTCGGTGTCGTCTTTTATTCAGTAGACATTTTAAAACTGCCAGCCATGTACCAGATAAATAGATGCATTCTCAAGATAATTAATGTGGCTATTATTAAGCAAGAAAGGTTTTGGTTTTATTTTTTAGTGATTTTATGCAAATATTTTTAAAACTAGAATGTTGAACAGGTTTTACTTATTTTTCCTATTGACAAATGGGGGTATTGTTACAAAGAAGGGTGAATGATGCTTTCAGCAGTTAGTGAGAAGTGTAACTGTGAAGAAACTCATTTCTTGCTTTAAAGTTTATCCTATTATTTTGGGACCTCAGTTTTGAGTTGTTTTTCCTGCTATCATATTTTCAACTTCTCACTGCTCTCACTATATTTCTACCTAATGTTTGCGCCTTCTGTCCATAGGACCAGAAGACTTCTCAGAGTTCATGGGAAAATTCCCTTAACATCAATTCCACTTTTTTCATTAATTTTTGAAGCCCCTTTGTGTTTTTCATTTTAGAAGTACTTCATTTAGAAGTATGTAGAAATTCAGTATCTTCCCTACTCTACTGTCTGAGAAGTCATAAAACCAAGCATTCCATGTATAACACTAGTTCAGAGATGTGGCTGTCATTAATTTCCTGGCATCATCAATAATGGCTTTAACTTTGATTGCTAGGACCTTTTCTGTGCCACGGGTTCATTCACTGCAGATGAGGGAGCAAGCACTAGCACCACGCAGTACTCTAGATCATTGCAAAGACACGTTTTTATGAGAGGAAGACTGGGAACATAGAGAAGAATGGGAACAACTGGTATGACCTGAGAAACATCTTACTGTTAGTAACTCAAGTCCCTGTCCTTCCTTGAGTCTTCTGCAGAAGTAAGATTGCTTTTGGTCATGAAGACCCAAAGATTCCTATTACAGTTTTTGCTTGGAATTTTATAGCGGCTGTTAGATTTATTATGATTTGAATGATTATTTTGGAAATAACATAATGTTTATCTTCTTTTTCCACAGTCCATATTTGCTCCATTTCTTACTTTACAACTTGCATACATGGGACTATACAAATATTTTCCCAAGGTAAAGTAACTTCTTTTTGTAAATAATGATTATATACAAACTAGCTAATTTTTTAGCTTTTTTAAAACTTAGTTTTACTTATCAGTGGAATCAGTACTGTTGCAGGTATGATTTCCCAGCCAACCTTCAAACAATTTCTTTCTGTTTGTGAAAAATTCAGAAAATGAATAAGATTTCTCTTCATGATTTTGTCTTTCTAAATCCTGTTCAGCCTTGCAATTCTGATTTTAATTCTACTTCCTCCTGGAATCTCTCCCTGAGTTTTACGTACAAGTAAGAACCTGGAGCCATTTCTGTCTCCTTGTTCCTGTTTTGGTTTTGTAGTGTTGTGTAAGTTTTTTAATTATTATTTTTGCCTTTTTAAACCTTTTGAATGTAAAAATGGCATCTCTTCCCTACTTCTTAGCCCTTTTGCTTAGGAAATGTTAGTATGTCACTGACTGGAGTTTTGACTCTTCATGAACACTGTTTATAACATTTAGGCAAAAGTAAGAGTACTGTCGTGTTTTGCGGAGCTAAAGTACCGTATATGCTCAAGTATAAGTGAGTTTTTCAGCACATTTTTTAATGTAGATTTTGTGGTAAAATTAGGTGCCTCAGCAGATCTTCGAGTTGGCTTATACTTGAGTATATACGATAATCGACTGAAAGCTGTGATACTCATCTGAGCCTTTCTCTGTGTAGGGTGAGAAGAAAATAAAGACAACAGTACTAACGGCGGCACTTCTGCTATCGGGAATTCCTGCTGAAGTGATCAATCGATCGATGGATACCTACAGCAAAATGGGCGAGGTCTTCACAGATCTCTGTGTCTACTTTTTCACTTTCATCTTTTGTCATGAACTGCTTGATTATTGGGGCTCAGAAGTACCTTGAAGCCTACAGAACTTGGAAGGAGCTTACCAGCAATCATTTCTCTTGTATACTGCAGTATCTCTAAAGAAGGCAAGCTGGTTACACCTTTATGTAATTCTTTTATATCTGTGGGTGGTAAAATCACTCAATTAGGAAGGGAATGGCAGCTTCCCTGATTTAAAATGATCTCGTTTGTAGTAGTACTGATGTGAAGCATAGACTACTGAAGGATGTGAATTGATTTTTCTTGATTAGATTCCTAGTCTTTACCTTTCCTTCACCTTCTCAGAGTTGTAATCCTACTTTTGAGGGCTGAGCTAATGCTTTTAGGAGGGCAGGTAAACATGGTCTCAGCCAATCCTTAAGAACTGCTTCTTGTATTGTGTCATGCTGTCCTAAGAAAGGGAGCCATAATAAAAACAAGTGTCTAATGTTAAGTCTGCATATTTTAACTTTAAAGGAATTAGTAAGGTAGTCAATCCTACCTTGAGTCAGTATTCTTATTTTTACTCCAGCATAATTTTTTTTGCAAATATCATTTAATGGAAGATATAGCTAGAAATAGCTAAATTTCATACATGTGAAATTAGAAACTAGGAAATTATTATTTGCTATATTCTCTGGTGGCAGAGTGGTTACAAATTCGGTTGCTTATAATAAGGTCAGTAGTTAGAAACCATCAACTGCTCCATGGGAGAAGGATAGCTTTCTACTCCTAAACAAATTACAAACAAAAACAAACTACACTCTTGGGACGCACAGGGGCAATTCCACCCTGCCCTGTAGGGTCACTATGAGCCGGCATTTTCTTGATGGCAGTGAGGGAGGGTTTTTTGTTGTTGTTGTTTACCATTGACAGGATTTCAGCTACAACAACGTAAATATATATATTTACATGTGTGTGTGTGTATATATATATATACACACATAAATTGGATCTGAAGAATTAACTGAGGTCTTATAACCCAACAAAGTGGGTTACATGGTTGTATGGAAGACAGGTCTTTCTGAAAGAGAATAAAACCTAGGTGGTATGTCATGTGTTGTTTTATTTCCCTTACAGATTTTTGTATGGCCTGTTTGGTTAATTCTTGGTAAACTGTACAGCCATGGGCTCTTTATCTTCGAGATACTGCTGTTAGCACTGGCTGCCTCCCCACGCAGTGTTTCCAGCATTGTAAGAACAAGCCCTACCCAAAGTCCTGCTTCAGCCATGGTGTTTCCCTGATGCTGGGACCACATCTTTGGCCTGGGTTATAGAGAGGCAACAATGACTTGAGTGTCCGCTCTGACCACATGGTGTCAAAGGAACACACGGAGCTCTCTTCGGAAGCCCTTGAGCTGGTCCATATTTGTGTCAATAAGTACTTGGTAAAAGTGGCTAAGTTGACTTTCACATCCAAGTGTGTCTCCATTTGTTGCTTCCATGTCATCCACATCAATTAGCTGTCCTGGGCTGGGGATGACGGACTCCAGAGGGGTATGTAAGCTGCCTTTGCGAAGCCCCAGGCTCTAATAGGTAGGGTCCATGTTGAATACCCGGAGGGAAAGGGAAGGGTTGGGGACAAACGGGGAACCGATCACAATGATCTACATATAACCCCCTCTCGGGGACAGGCAACAGAAAAGTGGGCGAAGCGAGATAATGGTCATTGTAAGACATGAAAAAATAATTTATAAATTATCAAAGTTGAGGGAGGGAGGGAAAAATGAGCTGATACTAATGGTTCCAGTAGAAAGGTTCAGTATAGCACTGTTGAAACATACAACATTCCTCTAGTTCTTGAATGATTCCTCTCCACGACTATCATGACCCCAATTGTACCTTACAAATCCGGCTAGACCAGAGCATCTACATGGGTACAGATAAGAGCTCACAACACAGGGAATCCAAGACATAAATCACTCAGGACCAATAATGAGAAAAGGAAGGGGGCTGCCAACAAACTCAGGGTCAAGGGAACAACAAGTGATTGAAAGTTGATGGTGAAGAAGGCATAGATAGAATGCCTGGTGGGGCTTGATCAAGGGCAGTGTACCTGAGAGGAATTACCGAAACCCGAATGAAGGGGAAACATGATGGTGGAACAAGAGGAAAGTAAAAGGAAATAGAGGAAAGAACTAGGAGGCAAAGGGCATTTATAAAGGTCTAAATACAGGCATGTAAATATGTATGATAGGGAAATAGATCTATGTACATATATATATAGATTTAGTATTAAGGTAGCAGACGAACATTGGGCCTCTACTCAAGTACTCCCTCAACACAAGAACACTTGTGTTCTTGGTTAATTCTATAAGAAATAACCAGTTCTTATAACTGGCATTCCACGATGCTCACCTTCCCGACATGATCACTGAAGACAAAATGGGTGCATACGCAAATGTGAAGAAAGCTGATGGTGCCCAGCTATCAAAATATATAGCATCTGGGGTCTTAGAGGCTTGAAGATAAACAAGCAGCCATCTAGCTGAGAAACAACGAAGTCCACATGGAAGAAGCACGCCAGCCTGTGTGATCATGAGGTGTCGATGGGATCAGGTATCAGGCATCAAAGACCCAGAACAAAAAATCATATCATTGTGAATGAGGAGGAGTGCATAGTGGAGACCCAAAGCCCATCTGTAGACAATTGGGCATCCCTCACAGAAGGGTCACAAGGAAGAGATGAGCCAGTCAGGGTGCAGTATAGCACCATTGAAACATACAACATTCTTCTAGTTCTTTAACACTTCCTCCCCATGACTATCATGACCCCAATTCTACCTTACAAATCCCGCTAGACCAGAGCATCTACATGGGTGCAGATAAGAGCTTGCAACACAGGGAATCCAAGACAGATAACCCACTCAGGACCTATATTGAGAGTAGTGATACCAGGAGGGTAAGGGGAGGGTGGGGGGAGAAAGGGGAAACCAATCACAATGATCTACATATAACCCCCTCCCAGGGGGACAGACAACAGAAAAGTGGGCCAAGGGAGGTAACAGTGTAAGACATGTAAAACATAATTTATAAATTATCAAGGTTCAGGAGAGAGGGAGGGAGGGAAAAATGAGCTGATCCTAAGGCTCCAGTAGAAAGAAAATGCTTAGGTTCTGATACTATGCACTCCTTCGGCTTCAGATTCTATGATTACAATCCTTTGGTCACTGACGTTGGTGTGCTTCCATGTGGACCCAGTTGACATCTCACTCAGATAACTGCTTGTTTGGATTTTTTTTAATTGATCATTTTATTGGGGCTCTTACAGGTTTTATAACAATCCATAAGTCAATTACATCAAGTGAACTTGTACAGAGCTTTCATCATCTTTTTCAAAACATTTTCTACTTGAGCCTCTTGATAGCACCTCCTCCTTATTCCCTCCCTTGGATATTTTTAATTTTAAAAATTTTAATCTTCATGGGAGCATGCCTTTCTTCTGTGCTACTGCTAGGTGGGCTCACACTGCCAACTTTTAGATTAGTAGTGAAGTGCAAACTGCCCCCAAGGGATCTGTTTGCATCACAGTTGGAACTGAAAACAGTAAGAGGATGTGAAATCCTCAGAATGGTGTTCATTTGTCAAAATCAAAATCTGCTTTGAAAGCCAACACCACCTGTCAAAGAACAAAAAATCATATCATTGTGTGCTCACCTCCATGATACGATCGCTGAAGACAAATGGGAGCATAAGCAAATGTGGCAAAGAAAGCTGATGGTGCCCGGCTATCAATAGCGTCTGGGGTCTTAAAGGCTTGAGAGTAAACATGTGGCCATCTAGTTCAGAAGTAACAAAGCCCACATTGAAGAACACAGCAGCCTGTGTGATATCGAGGTGCCGAAGGGATCAGTTACCAGGCATCA